TAATTCCTTACTAAATGTAGTATTTCATTTCGATGTACTCCGTCTTCGATATGATTTAAATCAAATTCCTCGTCATTATAAATATCACAAACACACATCAAATAGTTTTCTGGTTGCAATTTTCTAATTTCGACTATGCGTAATGTATGCTTTACGCATGCACGTGTTGAAAGAAATGTTTAATAAAGTAAACAAATAAATATTAAGCTTTTTCTTTGTAAATTTTGATACCCTTTAGAACATAATTGCTCTTTATTTCATAAATTATGGTTTCATATTTTTAATTTTATAATTTCTGCATGCCATCTTACTAGATTTAAACTGATGATCTATAATCCAGAAAAAATTGATAATCCGGAATCGCCGAAGTCCCAATGAGTCCGGATTAAAGACTTTTGACTGTATTAGCTTCAGTGCTTCAGCAATAGTAACAGGCACTTTGATAATCAAAAGAATCAGGATGGCCTTAGGTATTGAAAGATAAGAGCCTGTTAGAAGCCAGTAGAATGATGACAGGATTATTATGACAGAATTGGGGATGAAGTTTGGAATCTATAGGAGGACAAGGAAGAAGTGGATTCAGTCCTTAAGATTTATAGTAAATTTCAATACTTGCTATGATATAATTTACCAGAAAGAGTTGGAGAGAGGAAAGTGAGTTAATGTGTTTTAAAAGCTTGTCCAACCAAACACATTTGAATTTTTGCTACCAATAATAAATGACAATGAAAAATGGGTTCTCTTTATGAATTTAAATAGATCAAATATTTATAGACCAGGCACTTTTCCAATATCCAGTGAAAAACAAGGATTACATCCATAAAAAGTTTCTAAACGCCTAACAGGATTTCAAAGCAGTGATCAAGTATTTACAAGCAACCAAATATTAATACACTGCCCACAATTCAATCATCTCTGTCATGACCTGAGAGAAAAGTACCAATTGTTAGTTAAACCTTTTGTGGTCCTCTCCTGCCCACGAAAATTCCTCCCCCCAGTGGTCGTCTGTTTTTCGTAGCATTTAATGTTGCTTTCTCTGTACATCATAACTTTCCATACATAACTTTCGTAGTGGATGAATGTCAATGAATATTAAGTAAAATTATAAGGAAATAAAGCATAATGGAAAAATAATATCTCTGTTTTTTCTAACAGCAGGATAATTTGATAACATCTGTTCCAGGTGGTCCACTCCTCCCATTTTGTTGTTGTAATCTTTTACAATTATTGATTTTTTTACAGTTCTTTTCCATGTTCCAACATCAATCATTGAGTTATTATGGACTGTACTCATCAAACGTATATCCTTCTTGTCTTTCCAATTCACGAACTTATTTTTTCTCTTTTTCTGCATTGAAGTCATCTCTGACTGTCTTGTATCTTATCTAAAATGACGCGAATATTCATAAAAACTGAGGCAAATTCAATTAGAAATAGAATGTCTGATTAATGATGCCCTCTAGGAGGTATTAGAACAAACAAAAATAAAAACTAAAACAAGTAGACATTTAGAAAACGTTTTAAATGTTTAAAATTTTCAAAATGTAGAAGAATGCTTGTTGCGCATTACGGCCGCCCTGAGGAAGTTTCACTTGAACGCGCTAGACATGAATGACGAAGAGATTAATTATCAGGAAGTAGCATTTCATAACAACAATACGTTACTCATTAGATAAATTTTCAATACAATCAAAGAAATATTTTTTGCACTATAGTACATCATTATAATAACATTGTTGAAAGTGGTTCATGACACTTAAACGACACCAGTTAGCCTACAGGATATTTAGCTGACACGGACACTTAGCCGACAGGACATTTAGCTGACTGGTCATTTAGCCAACAAGGACACTTAGCCAACACGGACGACAGTTAGCCAACAGGACATTTAGCCGAAAAGGGCATTTAGCCAACAGGCCATTTAACAGACACAGGCAGATAGCCGACAGGACATTTAGTTGACACGGACAGTTAGCCGACAAGGACACTTAGCCGATAGAACATTTAACTGATACAAAGAGTTACCGTCAGGACATTTAGCTATGGGACACTTAACTGTCAAGACATTTAGTCAACACTAAGCTGACAGTGACGTTTAGCTGACACATACACAATAATTATTTAAACTTACTATCAATTACAAAATTTCTCGACTTATCCATAGGTTCAATAATTAAGTTATTTTTTTCACCTATCAGTAAAATTCATTTTTCGATTCTTAAAGGTCACATATGCGATTTAAATTCTTGTGTAATTTAGCATTGTTTGATATGTATCGTGCTGTTTGGTGTATATTGGCCAAATTGAAAAAGTGCTGAAATTTCTCGTCAGGGAATACGAATTAAATTTCAAAAGGAAAAAAGAAATTTTTTTAGCTAAGTATGGTGGTCACTTAATTATATTTTAATATGATCTGAAAAAATTATCCGTAAAGCTTCTTCATTTAATCAACTTAATAATTTTTCTTGTTTAGTTAATGACATTAATTTTCCAATCTTGTTCTTCCAAATGCTTTCAAATTTCTAATAACTTTACGTTTCATTACTATTTTACTCATCACATCATGTTACAGTCTTTTCCTTACAAAAGTGTTTGCCTTCTCCCACTAATGAAATTTCTTTTCCCTGTCATGAAAAATCTGAATAATGCAATAAAAATTATTTTCATTCTTGAAATATACTTTTTTATAGAAACATATGGTGGTAAGAGTTGGTTTAGCAAATATATTTTATTTTGTTATTAAAAACAATTAAAAAAAGTGAATTTTTAAGACAAGCAAGGGTATAAAATTTTTGTGACCTCTATAATTTGCTGTTCATGCCACCATTCTTGAGATAAAAATTCTGTAACAATTTATTGACCATGCCTCTCGCTTAAAATACTTACTTAGGTTAATGTTTACAGCACTAAATTGGTGCATAATATTTAATGTAGAAGTAGAATATTCTTTAAGGTTTTGCTTTATTTATAACTGAAGCTGCAGAAGGAGGGGGCCACAAACCAAGTAGACAGAGCAAAGCGTCACATCCTGAAAAGTCACTGTAATGTAGTGCCATCTATCGATGCTGGATTTAACTAGATCAGTCATGTAATTACATAATACTATGTACTATATTTTGAAAGTCACAATGTGTAATTTTCAGTATAATATCTTATATTAATGTTGTTCTTATAATATATAAATTTTTGCAATATGTGTTAAAAATGTATAAATTTTAATTTTTTTCTCCCTCTTTCATTCCTTCTCTTTCTCATTTTCGGTTTAGCTACATGGTAATGGGAAAATTTTTGGTGCCCATTTTTCTGAATGTATTTATAAAGTTCTAGCCTAAAAAGGCAATTTTCATTGGAAGAGACTCTTATATATTAAGTAAAACAGTCACCCTATTTTTGTTAGGCTCAGCAGAGGCCGAGCTTTAAAGTTCATGAACCCTGACAGTTCGGCCTGAATTTCGAATCCCGCAAACAGACAGGCTGCATGGGTGTTTCCATGGTTTTCTCCATGTGTAACATGTATACAAGCCAGTTTTCATTAGAAAGTCCTTCCCGATGGCATCCCTTTTGGCCAGATAGTGCTTTGACTTTGCCGTAATTACATAAAACAAACCTACTTCCGTTAGGTGGCCACAGACTTGGTTTGTGGCCCTCTCCTTCTGCAGGTTCAGTTATGAATAAAACAAAACCTTAAAGAATATTTTACTTCTAAATTAAACATTATGCACCAATTTAGTGCTAGAAACATTAACCTAAGTAAGTATTTTAAGCGAGAGGCATGGTCAATAAAAAGTTACAGAATTTCTATCTCAAGAATGGTGGCATGAACTGCAAATTATAGAGGTCACAAATAATTTACACCTTTGCTTGTCTTAAAAATTCTCTTTTTTAATTGTTTTTAATAATAAAATAAAGTATATTTGCTAAACTAACCCTCACCAATATATGTATATATAAAAAGTATAATTCAAGAATAACAATAATTTTTATTGCATTATTCAGATTTTTCATGACAGGGAAAGCAAATTTCATTAGTGGGAGGAGCCAAACGATTTTGTAAGGGAAATAATGTAACAAGATGGGATGAGTAAAATTGTAATGAAGCGTAAAGTTATTAGAAATTTGAAAGCATTTGGAGGAGCAAGATTGGAAAATTAATATCATTAAGAAAACAAGAAAAATTATTAATGATGTGAAAGTGTTAAAAAAACCAGTTGATTAAATGAAGAAGCTTTATGGATAATTTTTGAAGATCATTTTAAAATGTAATTAAGCGACCTGCGTACATAGCTAAAAAAATTCTTTTTTCCTTTCGAACTTTTATTCAGATTCCCTGACGAGAAATTTCAGCGCCTTTTTCAATTTAGCCAATACACACCAAACAGCACAATAAATATCAACAATGCTAAATTAACACAATAATTAAAAGAACATATGAGATCTTTAAGAATCGAAAAATGAATTTTACTGATAGTAAAAAAATAACTTAAATATTGAACTTATGGAGAAGTCGAGAAATTTTGTAATTGATAGTAAGTTTGAATAATTATTGGGTACATGTTAGCTAAATGTCACTGCCAGCTTAGTGTCCTGTTGACTAAATGCGTTGACAGTTAAGCGTCCCATAGCCAAATGTCCTGACAGTTAACTCTATGTGTCAGCCAAATATTCTGTCTGCTAAATGTTCTGTCGGCTAACTGTCCGTGTTGGCTAAATGTCCTGTCGGCTAACTGCCCATGTCAGCTAAGTGTCCATGTTGAAACGTCCCGTCAGCTAAGTGTCCTTGTTGGCTAAATGTCTTGTCAGCTAACTGGTGTCAGTTAAGTGTCCCATCAGCTAAGTGGTTGTCGGCTAAGTGTCCACGACCGGTGGAAAGTATCAAGCAATATAAAAAATTTATGATGAATGAAAATAGTTTAAAACCATTCCATATTTCAGTTATCATCATTAATAAAATACAACAATCTTAAGACTTAAAATAAAATTTATATATTCAATGCACTTACTCTTTATTTTTAACTCTGTAAGCATATATTGCTTCTGTTCTCTCAATACCTTTCATCTTTCGAGATGGCATTTCAACAAAACTAGCATGGCCTAAATCGTCTCGACTTAAATGGTATGTATCAGTATCCATTACAACAGGTTCATCTTTGTAGACTGTCATTATTCGAGATGCCAAGTTGACTCTGCTACCTAATACTAATCATGATAATATTTAAAACTTTAATCAATGAAACAAAAACAAATGCTTTATAAAAACTCACAAAAAAATTTTAAAAAAAAGAAGACAAAACAGCACATAAATTTAGAAAAGAATAGCAAAACACTATAAAAAATTAATAACTATAATGAAATGCAAGTAAACATAGGATTAGGTTGATGAGATTAAATGTATAAAAATAATTTAAATGAAAAATGTCAAATAAATCTATCTTTCAACTAAAAGTATACGATCTTCAATTTTACATACAAGCATTACATGATCTAAAAAAATCAAGTATCTTTAAGAACCCCTCAAATAAATACAATTCCTTAAATATCAGGTAAAGCTCAATTCTGGTTCAAAATGCTACCCTAATTCCAGCTGAGAATTCACATAAGATGAGATATGGTATTTTACTTTATTGTTTAATTATTTGTCATTATTTTAACTTCTTTGTTTTTTGACACTTTATTTAATTATTAAATATTAAGTTTTTTATGCATTTACTTATTCATTTTTTTAGTTTTTTTTTATGGCCTTCTGTAGGTATTGAACAATTCTAATTTTAGAAATGGTCTTTAATTAAATAGATCAACAGGCCTTTATATCTAAACATTGGAAGTAACTTTGTTTCTCAATTTCGAATCTCCTCTATAATACTGTAAAGAATACATAAACAGTCTTAATGTCATCCATGATAAATTTTCAACTTTGTAAAATGAAGTAAATCCTTAAAGGCAAATAAATATAAAGTCACAACTAAAATTTACTTAGACCCCATATGGACTTAAAGGCAACTAAAAACAAATCAAAAATACTTCAAATGATCACAAAGTGAAAAATTAACTCACTTAAAATATTAGGAAAGAAATCTAATATTTTAAGATATTAGATTTCTTTCCTAATATTTTAAGTGAGTTAATTTTCTAATATTTAAAAGCTAATATTTTACTTTAAATGATCTTTGGAGAGAAATACATATATATCAAGATCTCTCTTATTATGCTCCGTATTTCAAATACAATTTCACTTACATGCTGCGGGTATTTTTTAAATTTCAATAACATAATAAAGTAATTCATGTTATTTATATTTTAAGATCTTGTTTATTATAAAAACACCTAATTGGGTAAAATAGTAATAGCAAGTAAGCCAAATTTTATATTTTTCTCAATTTTTACCTAACTTCAAATTTTGGATATTCCTAGAATAAATATGGGTCTTGCATACAACAAATCAGCAAGGAGTACCTTGGACAGTTAGTACAAAAGCATGGACAGACGGACTGTGAATTAAAAGTTGGAGACATCGTGCTAATAGGTTGTGAGAACCTTAAAAGAGTGAACTGGCCAATTGCTCGTGTCCAAGAACTTTGTACAAGCAGAGATGGACGTGTAAGAGTTGTAAAAGTGAAAACTAGAAACGGCATACTGATTCGTCCTGTACGTAAACTGTACCCTCTAGAAGTGTGTTCCTGTACTAAGGATACCATTATTTGATTTTTTATTTTCCTTCTGAAAATCGAAAAGGTGGGAGTGTTGTGAAACTGATTAGTTGTATCTAACAAATATTAAAAACAAATCGCTTCATTTTGATGCACGAGACACAGATGGCGTTGGCTGTCATTGAAGTAGGAAGAAAAAAAGGGCTTTTCCCTTTCGACCTCGTGACGTGAACTGATTAAGATGTGTAATAACTTACGGGGCCAGAAAAATTTCCCAACAATTGTTAAAAAATTTATATATTTTGTAGTATAGAGAATATAATTAGATAAATCAACTTCTTAGAATTTTTATTACAGATTCAACATCACACTACCCAGGTAAGTGAGCAAGTTTTGTCTTTAGTTTTTCTGGATTGCTCGGTATCTGGGATGAGTGAAGGAAGTATTTTTATTTTAATGATATTTAATGATAAGACTATGTTTTAGTAATAACAAAAAGTGGCGTCCGCGACAGGACTCTAAGAAATAAACTTTAAAAAAAAAATTATTTTAATGGTTATAGATAGTTTTTGATGTATTAAAGTATAATTAAGTTTAAATTCGAAACTATTTTTTGTAAAGCAGTTTGTTTTATTTTGAAAGTTAACTATGGAAGCTTTAAAGGCTCTGAAACTTAAACGGGCAGGTTTACGCACTTCTTTTGCAAAAACTGCTAATATTTTAAAAACGGAATTAGTAAAAGAAGATTTTTCTGTAGATTTAGTACGAGATAAACTTACTAAACTACAAAATGTATATTCAGATATAAAAAATGTAGATGATAAAATTCTTGATTTGTTAGCTGAAGACGGGAAAACTTTAGAGGATGATGTTACTAAAGAAATCGAAAGTCGCGAGGTGTATTCTGATGATTTCATAACACTAACTCGCCAAATTAATGAAAATTTGCAATTTTCAGATGAAATCAATTTAGAAACAAGACCAAATGATGGTGCTGGTATTTGTTGTAGTAGTAGATTAAACAGTATAGACTTCCGAAAATCGAACTTAAGAAGTTTGATGGGGAATTGATAAATTGGTTACCGTTTTGGTCGCAGTTTGAGAAAATTCACACTGACCCTGATTTATATGAAAGTGACAAATTTTCCTATTTGATTCAGTGTATGAAGCCCGGATCACGTGCTAAAGAATTCATTGAAAGCTATCCGGTGACTTCGGAAAATTATGATAAAGCTGTTTTAGCTTTGAAGGAACGTTTTGGGAAACCTGAATTATTAGTAGAAGTGTATGTTAGGGAACTAATTAAATTAATTGTTTCTAATGTGAAGGCAGATCAAAAGGATAAATTACCTATTGATAAACTGTATGATAAAATTGAAGCTCAGTTGAGAGCCTTAGAGTCTTTAGGTCTTAAATCGAGCGAAAACACATCGTGGTTATTTCCGATGGTGGAATCGTGTCTCACAGAGGATGCTTTAAAGGCGTGGCAAAGGAGTTCGCTTTTTAACCATCCTGAAGGAACTGATCTTTCTCGCCTTACCAACTTAATGAAATTTTTCTGAATATTTCTAAATGAAAAAGTCTGAAGTGGAGGGTGAGGAGAGATTAAAATTGGCGCGTAATGGACTCGATGGTGTTAGTCGTAAAGAAGGATATCATGATAAAGCAAAGAGGGAAACAAAAGGTAAATTTAAATTTAAGAAACAGGGAAATGTTTCCACTGCCACAGGTTTTCTTACAACCAGAGAACACGCATGTATTTTTTGTGGTAAAATGCATGATAGTAAAAATTGTTACGATGCACGTTCATTATCTCTTAATGAAAGGATTTCTAAAGTTAAGGAGAAAAAATGCTGTTTAAAATGCTTGGAACCAAATCATATGGCAAAGTTCTGTAAACAGTTTGTTAGGTGTTTTGCTTGTGGTAAATCACACGCAGTTATTTTGTGTCCGGACATTAATAATGAAACTGAACTTCCTACAGAAAAATCAGAAATAGACAACATACATACGGCTACAGCCAGGCAAACTTGTACCGCTGACGTAGCTTTAATGACTTTATGCGTAAGAGTAGCTGGTGTCAAAAAGCATAAAGATGTTAGAGTACTCTTAGATTGTGGTTCCCAGAAATCGTATATTTTGAAATCATTAGCCACTGAATTGGGGTTACCAATTATTTCCAAAGAAAATGTTGCTCTTACTTTATTTGGAGGTGCCAGAACAGAGGCAAAGATGCATAACAAATATTTGGTAAAATTATGTTCAGCCAGTCCGCGTAAGTATTCAGATCTAGAATTTGAATTTTTAGATCAAGACATAATATGTGGGGATATACCTCGGGTACCCAAGGGTCCGATATTAAAAGAATTAAAACGAAACAACATTTGGTTGTCGGATCTGGGAGCAGATTGTCCAAAAATAGAAATGCTCATCGGTAGTGATATTTATGGAAAAATTCTCACGGGATCAGTAAAACAATTAAAAGGAGGACTAACAGCAGTTTGTACGAAACTTGGTTGGACAGTTTGTGGTGTATCGGAGGAATTTGTTAATCACAAAGATAAAGATGCTTCCATTTTGTGTGCAAGTTTAGTGGGTCACGACTTTAAAATCTCCGATCTTTGGAGCTTAGAAACGATCGGAATATTAGATGCTCATCAGAATTCAACTAACGCTGCTGAGGAAGAAATTGCCCACGAACAATTTTTAAACTCTCTTTCCAGAAACGAAGATGGTCGTTATTGTGTCGGATTACCTTGGTTAGTATATAACGCAGAATTGCCATCAAATCGTCATGTAGCAGAAAAAAGATTGTTCAGTGTCACCCGAAAACTCAAGTCTTTACATAAATATGAAGAATATGATAGAATTTTTAATGAATGGATGGAGGAGGGTGTAATTGAAATAGTACCAGACAATGAACTGAATTATAAAGGGCACTACTTACCGCATCACCCAGTATTTAAACCAGACAGTGTCTCAACTAAGATAAGACCTGTTTTTGACGCATCATGTAAAGTTAATAGATCGCCCTCCCTTAATGATTACTTAGTAAAAGGACCAAATTTAATAGAAGAAATCCCTTCAATTTTGTTAAGATTTAGAGAAAAATGCATTGGCGTAACCTCTGATATCCGGCGTGCATTTTTACAGATTGAATTACGGAAAGAAGATAGGGACTTTTTAAGATTTTTATGGAGGGAGAAAGATAATGTATTGAAGGTTTTCTGCCATACGAGGGTAGTTTTTGGAGTAAAGTCTAGCCCTTTTCTATTAGGAGCGGTTATTTCAGTTCATTTGGCACAAGTACCAAAGGAACAAAGTTCTATTGCTCAGAAATTAAATAAATCCTTTTATATTGATAATTGTGTGACTTCTGTTGATAACGAAAAGGAGCTTGTGAATTTTGTGAAATCTTCTACTGAAATATTAGCTGAAGCAAAAATGGACTTACGTATGTGGACCTATGGCCCAGTAGAAAAAGATGTGGAACTAACCCAAAGTACTTTGTGCACTGAGTCCACAATGGAGAATTCTGTACCAGTTTTAGGAATTATGTGGGACAGAATAGAAGATAACCTTTATATTGAAATTAAGACTGTATTGGTTTCGGATAATTTGTCTAAAAGAGAGGTTTTGTCAGTAACGCAGACAATGTTTGATCCTTTGGGTTTCTTGACACCTGTTTTATTGCCTGCAAAGTTACTGCTACAGGAAATTTGGGCGATAAAAGCAGACTGGGATACTCCATTACCAGATAGTATCAAAAGTAAATTTTCGAGGTGGTATAATAAATTACAAATTTTGAATAAGTTGAGAATACCGCGACGTATAGGTTTTGGAGATAGAAGTTCCTGGACACTTCATGTATTTTGTGATGCTAGCCAGCATGCTTATGCCACGGTAATATTTTTGAGATGCGAAACTAAAGAAGAAACATTAGTCAGTTTTGTAATGGCTAAGTCAAGAGTCGCACCCTTAAAAGAACTTACTATTCCCCGTCTAGAACTTATGGCCTGTCTTTTGGGCGTGCGTCTTTCCAAATATGTGACAGAAGCTCTTACATTGGATGACATCCCGAAATATTTTTGGACCGATTCCACCACGGCCATATCTTGGATTCAAAGAAATGATGCGTGGGGGACTTTTGTGGGCAATCGCGTGAAGGAAATTTGCGCTTTCACTAAAGCAAATCAGTGGTCATATGTACCGGGTCATTCTAACCCAGCTGATTTACCTTCTCGTGGTTGTTCCCCTCTTTAGTTTTCTGAATTAAATTGGAGGAGAGGGCCTGTTTGGCTCAAAGCCCTAGAAATAGCTGGCCAAAATTAGAGGTTAAGCCAAATGAAACTTTAGTTTTTTCAGAGCGCAGGAAAGGCATAAATTTAAATGTAAATCTTAGTATAACTACAAAAGCGGATAAAGTTAAGTGGTGTGAGAAGTTCTCTAAATTTTCAAAAATGTTAAGAGTTTTAGGTTGGATAAAGAGATTTATCAAAATTTGTCAAAAGAAAATTGTAAATAAAGAGCCTTTTCTGTCTGCTTCCGAGATAAAGGAATCTAAAATTATACTTCTTTCACTTGTTCAGGGGGAGAGTTTTCCAGAGACTGGAGACTCCATCAATGGTCTTTTGACCGTACGAGATCAGAGTGGCTTAAGAAGAGTAAAAACGAAAATCACCGAACGAGATGATTCTTATGCATTCCGGTACCCGATTTTATTACCTTCTAAGCATTATATTGTTGACTGTTTAATTAGAGATTACCATTTAAAGCATTCTCATGCCGGCGTACAAGCATTAACTGTTATAATTAGAGAAGAATTCTGGATCATTGGTGCAAGACGCCGAATTAGATCGGTGGTGAAACAGTGCGTCCGTTGTAAACGATTTTCAGCAAAACCTCCAACTACTGCACCCATTCAATTACCATTAGACAGAGTTCGAGATGCTTTCGCATTTGAAGTTACCGGCATAGATTTATGTGGCCCTCTGATTCTCAAAAATAAAAACAAAAAACCTGGGTAGTACTGTTTACGTGTGCTGTATATAGATGTGTACATTTGGAACTAGTGACATCCGTAAGTACCGAATGCTTCATTCAAGCGTTTCGTCGGTTCATAGCCAGAAGAGGTCGGCCATCTACAGTTTATTCAGACAACGGCACAAATTTCGTCGGTACATCTGCATTGCTGAAAAGGTTGACTGGGTAAAGGTAATTGCTCAGGAAACTTTGCATCCCATCACTTGGAAGTTCATTCCGCCCACTGCTGCTTGGTGGGGCGGATGGTGGGAGCGTCTAATCCGCACAACCAAGAATTTGATTGTGAGAGTCTTAGGACAAGCTGCAGTCAATTACGAAGAGTTACTCACCGTCATCTGTGATGTGGAAGCCGTAATAAACTGTCGACCACTTACTTATGTGTCAAATGACTCTGAGGATCTTCTACCATTAACGCCTTCCATGTTCTTACAGGACATTAAGGTTTCAGGTACAGCAGATTTGGATGCTTTAGATCGAAATAAACTCTTGGCTCGTCAGCGTTTCTGCCAGGAACTTCGAGAACAATTTCGTAGCCGTTTCCGCAAGGAGTACCTTGGACAGTTAGTACAAAAGCATGGACAGACGGACTGTGAATTAAAAGTTGGAGACATCGTGCTAATAGGTTGTGAGAACCTTAAAAGAGTGAACTGGCCAATTGCTCGTGTCCAAGAACTTTGTACAAGCAGAGATGGACGTGTAAGAGTTGTAAAAGTGAAAACTAGAAATGGCATACTGATTCGTCCTGTACGTAAACTGTACCCTCTAGAAGTGTGTTCCTGTACTAAGGATACCATTATTTGATTTTTGATTTTCCTTCTGAAAATCAAAAAGGTGGGAGTGTTGTGAAACTGATTAGTTGTATCTAACAAATATTAAAAACAAATCTCTTCATTTTGATGTACGAGACACAGATGGCGTTGGCTGTCATTGAAGTAGGAAGAAAAAAGGGTTTTTTCCTTTCGACCTCGTGACGTGAACTGATTAAGATGTGTAATAACTTTCGGGGCCAGAAAAATTTCCCGACAATTGTTAAAAAATGCATATATTTTGTAGTATAGAGAGAATATAATTAGATAAATCAACTTCTTAGAGTTTTTATTACAGATTCAACATCACACTACCCAGGTAAGTGACCAGGTAAGTTTTGTCTTTAGTTTTTCTGGATTGCTCGGTATCTGGGATGAGTGAAGGAAGTATTTTTATTTTAATGATATTTAATGATAAGACTATGTTTTAGTAATAACAGTTATAATGCTAAACAACTACCTGTATATTCTTTTCGTTGTGGGTGACCAACAAGTCCACAAAAACAGGTTCCACTAGCTATACCAACAGACACATTTCTGTAATACAATAAGACAGTAAACAGAAAAGGTGAGATAAATGTTTGCAATATGTATATATTATGGAAACATATTCAAATTTTATTTTTTTTCTAGATATAGCTCACAAAAATTAAAAACCTAATAAATTGAATTCCGAATTAGCTACATAATGCCAGCTTTATAATTTAATTCACCTGCCACTTAGAATGCTAAAGTGCCAAAAATAAAATTTTAAGTTGCTCCAGTCTTCCCCTTCCCCCCCTTTTTTAAGGAGGGATTTTAGGGCTTTCTAAAATAATAATAAATATTAAAATAATAATAATAATAATAATACAATTATGAGGTGTTATATAGGTACTACAAATGTTTAAGCTGTGTTCTAAATACCAATATAATGAAATATTCTCACCAAATTAATAAATTGTCCTTGCAAATAATTAATACAAGTCCTTACATTGTACTAGGAGTAAGAATGATTTAAGTTTGGTGATAATTATGAATAAAGCCCTAGGAACTGTGGATAAGAAAGCAACAGTTTCAGCTGAATTTTATTCATCATTTTGTAAATATAACAAAACCTAACTATAACAACCACCAATGATTCATTCCCTTCAGTTTTGATCTTATAGAGGTGATTTTCAGCACCGTGCTTATTCATAGTCTAAGAAACATTAATCACTTTCAGAAGTGGTTTTTCAGGTGATATTTCATTGTATCATTAGAAAGGCATGATATAATCCCCATAAATTTAAATTTGATGTTACTGAAGGTTAGGCACCATGTACATCATATGATATGTTAGCATCACCTCAGAACTTGAAAGTGTTGATTATTACTGCATAAAAATCACAAGTTTTGATGAAGAGAAAAAATACTAAAGATTGAAAAATTGGTATTTTGTTCCATAAAAATCTTCTAATATCAATATATAAATCAGTTCAAGCTAGGAAGAAAGAAAAAATATAGTTTGTTAAAAAAAAAGTTTATTAAATTATTCTTTACCAGTTAGATAACAAGATAAGGGGAATGATCTAATCTTTTTCACTTTTTCAAACTCATTAGTCCAATGATAAGTACAGCTAATACTAATAATAGTAGTGGATTATAGTTGTAGCAAAAGCTATAAATTCCATCACTAATAGCATGTACTTCCATTACTCAACAAATGTATATCTAATTTACATGATTTCCATATTAGTGATATATTTAATGACCTATATATTTAGCTTGAAGTTTTCTGTTTGCATTTCTGGAAGGATAATATTGAATTGTAAAACTATCAGCATTAAATGTGAAATACTAATACTACTGAAATAAAGAATATGCAACACTAAAACTTCAAAACTGCAAACTGTACATACATAGACACCTCAAATAGATGTGAAAAACATTTCATTCTTAAAAATCTATCAACAGAACTCTTTCATCTTTCATCATAACTGGTGTACATTAGTAAAGATTTCCCTAAGACACAAGGAAATAGAAGAAATTATGTTATGCATTCTCAATTAACATGAATTTATGCTGATTTTCAGCACCCACTTCATCATTTCCTTTATCAATGGTACTGACCATGAGAAAGAATATACATTCTATGGAAGCGACTTTTTTTAATACGTTAAATCATATTTTATACATACACAGATACACTCAGAAATGCTGAAAACAGGGCTCCAAAAAGGAAAAAATATATAATCACAATACTTTGCAAATAAGTACAGAAAGATCCAACATTCAAACGATCAAAGTTTGGTGCCAATGCACATGACCACACACCCTGCAGTGGCACTATAATCAGGAAGTGGGCTCTGTATGGTCTAGCACATCTATGAAGATTAAAAAAATGCAAAGATCACATTCCAACTCTAAGAGGACTTTAGTAAGCGAAGAATGCCAAGTAGACACACACTGTATTTGTTTAATTGTCTTGCTATTGAGATCAATTTAATCTCCCATCTATATCATTATATTTATCAAGTTTCATTTTAAGCTGATGCTCCCTTCTTGGTGTATTGTTGTGAAAGTTTTTGAGTGTAAACATATATATATGATTGTATTTCTTTAGTTTGATCAAAATGCTCTATAAATACTCTTTAACATTTATCTTCTGTACTAATTTGAAGATGGAAATAAGTCCATCATTTATATTCAAGTTATATTAATTTATAGTGAGCTTGGGTCATAAACAAGCTTTACATTAAAGATGCAATGAGAAACAGAAGCTTCTGTGCATATCATAATTTTAAAAAAGATTGAAAAGAGAAACTGAAATTTTCTTTTTTTCTAAAAACAATTTTGGGTTTGTTTCCTTTTTCAGAACAATGGCAATTTTTTAAATGAATGAAAAATTGATAATTTGTACATGATATGATTTTACTAGGAATAAACTCACATATTTAAGTTCACCAGTTCATCAACAGCATTATTAGCACATAAGATACCCCTTGCTGCATCATTTGAATGTTTCATACCAGGAAGTCCAAATGCTATTAAAAATGTACAACCCTAAAAAACAATAAGAAATATGCAGGACATTTAAAGTTTTCTTTCAGGCACTTAATAACAGCTAATGCATTTCTTTGGATTTATTTTAATAAATGTGTTTTACAAAGTGGACATTTTAAATACATTTGATACTCATGTTCCATCAAAAAAGTTTTAGGACTGAATTCATAAAAAGATATCAAGGGGGGAGGCATGATTGGCATCTTCTACAAACATTTCTCCTAATGTTATACTTCTAAACCTAAGTTAACTATAAGAATACCTTTTCATTTTCTCATTTTTAAAATGTTGTCAAAATAGTATCCTTACTGCAAGATAGTTTAGGGAAATAAAAATAGTCTGAAATGTGTCATCTGACAAGTAAGGAAATGAGCAATAAAAGTATTTTCCTCCCTTCTGATTTACTTATTTTTTTAGCAACTAAAACTTAATGATAATTGTAATAATTGATTTTCTAAAGGGATACTAAAATTTATTACTTAATTGAAGCTTTTCCTGACATCCTGAATTGTTTCCAGAAGTCATTTGTTACCTTTTCCTAGAAAATATAATTTATTGCCTTTCCTTTCAAGCAAAAAAATTCCTTGTTAACTAATGCATGCTAATAAAAACATAATAAACTAAATCTTTAATTGATGTTTCTCTGGCCAAGGTGAATTTTCATACATATTAATGACAATTTCTGTTAATATTTAAATTCTTTTGAATGCATTACTGGGATATTGTGTATTGTTTTATTTATTTAATTTTTACATAGTTTTAGGGCTTATTTTGTGCACAAATAAATTTATGGCAAAATATTTTGCTGAAAAAGCTTGAAAATATTACTTTTTTTTTTTTTTTTTTTTTTTTTTTTGCGCATAGAATTGAAGATATTTCCATTTTGAGACTAACAATGCACAAATTGTTAGAATAGATATAATAGATCAATTGTTAGAATAGATTAATAGATCAATTGTTAGAATAGATTAATAGTATGTAAGATATACAGAAATGCTCCTGATAGGCCTTCATAATAATTTTATTACCAAGTTTTTTCCAAATTGATGACTTTATGTAAATTTTGAAAGAATGCACTGTAAAAGTGCTAAGACTTCAAAACTTCCAGAAGCCTGTGCAACATCCTATAAATACGGCTCAATACAACTTATAAATGCAGCTCTAGAGCCAGATAAATCAGTTGTTACTCAGGTCTGAGAGACTGCAATTCAAAGTGAGTTAGCTGAATTTCATTTTACAGTTTATTTTGATATTTTACAGTTTACTATATGGATAATTTATGGTATTTCTCGCGTAATAAGGATAATTGCTTAACATCCGTGCTCTCTTTGATTTATTTAAAGCTATTAATTTTTTTTTTTTTTTGGTTGTTGTACATTATATTTTTTTTTCCAATAAAGTTTCAATTTCTTCCTGCTCATCTGGAGTGTACACATAAAGAGACAGCCATGAGCTTCTAGTTTGCAACACCATACAAAAAATTAAGTTTGCTAATTTTATCAAAATTTTATTGCTTTTTGAGTTTTGGTACTTGCTGGCAAATAATTGCGATATAAATAGAAATAAGAAATTATACTTAAGCCTTTATCAGTAAGAAACTGCTATTTTAAACGAAAATATGCCAGTAATAAATGCCTTTTGTTACTATATGGCATGCTTACTGGAAATGGTTGCAAAAATTCAGCCCTGAAACTTGAATATACATTGTGCACAAGTGATGAATTTGTTGAACATCCCTCCACACAAAATAAAATGCTTTGCAATTTTCTTCAACGTCTTGCTTACTAATTTATGATACTGTTGAGAATTTAACAAGCTGATTAAAAACATGAAGTATGTCATAGAGATTCAGAGGTTTTACTGCAGTAAAGTTTAGACATGAAAGCTTACAAACAATTGGATACAAAACAATTCAAGTAGTTTAAAATAAATGACAAATGTATATCTAAATAACTGAAAAATTTACCAGCATCATTATACAAGTAGCTTACTAACTATGCATAAAACTTCATATTCAATCACATAATTCTGATTTAATTTCATAAAAAAATGTCTAGCTTTTATATATAATTCAGCCATTTATTAAAATTTTATACACTGAAGCCATTTCTTTAAGTGATAAGACAAGAAACATTTTTCAAACTCACTTGCCTTTATTTTTGGCAATTTAATAAAGCTCAAACAAAAAGACAGAGAATAACAATTAAACTTTCATAAATTAAGTTTTGCCACATTATAAAATGAAATTTCAGTTTTCTCATATTTGCCTAAAGCAGCACTCACTGTTACCCTTCAATGATAAAAGTATTTACAGTAAAAAGCAACATTATTTCAGATTTCATTAAAAAAGGGCTCTGTGAAACAAATTTTCAAAGTGATCTTGATAACATTTAGATGTACTTATACATCTAAAATGCTATGAAGGTCCCTGAATATTGTAAACATATTCAAAATGAACTTCGAATTACTAGCCTTAAAACATACCATTTGGTTAAATATTAGACATATTTAATTTTTTAATTAAGCAATGCTATTATGAGGAATTGAGTGAAAACTAGGCAAGATTATTAAAATTTCTATCATTGTAATGCCTCTTCCTAGAAAAAAAAGAAAAATTTGGTATATTATGAAAATAGCTAAAATTATTTTTTCAAACTCAAAAAAGTAATTATGGAACTATATTGTAACAAAGAAGTATTACCACAAAATGAACATTGAGTCTCAACGCGAGAATCACCAGATTAAAAATTAAACATATACACTGAACACACACAAGAAAAGGAACAGTTCTATACCTCCCATTCTACTGAGCCGATTGGCAAAATTCAAATTGCGTTTTTCATCTCTCGAAAGCGCGATTTAGGATATGTATTAGATTTATATATAGCATTGTTCTAATATAGGTATTTCGACACAAAATCGGACTTTTTATGAAATAACATGACAATTTTTCCATATTTTGGTTCTACGATTCAAATTACTCAAACTACCAAGTTAAGTAAAAATTGCACGAGTAGTTTTTAAAAATTAGCTCTCAAAATTTTAGCTCGTCAATGTTAATTCAGTTTGGTATATATTTATTAATATCTCTTTTTTTATTAAACTTAATTAATTGTTCCTTTCACATTTCGAAATTTAGGTTCATTCCAAATAAAATTAACCCATTTTTTATGATTTATTTTTAAAATTTGTATAAATTTTTCAAAAAAGTTTTTGAATTATAATGTATAAAATTTTTACCATCATCTTAAAGTAGACGTATTTCTAAGCATATTTCCAAAAAATTAGTTTTGTATTCAAAATTTCTGAAGATATACGGGAATTTATATAATAGTGCGTTTTGAAATTTGGCATATTTGTTGAAAGCGATAAAAACATCAAATGTGTTTAGACACTTTACTAAAATTATTTTAGAAGTAGAAACAAAACTTTTTTTCACTCATGCACAATGTAAAAAGGTAGTAACAAAGTGCCTTTTTCTCCTTCTGGCACAATATAAGGGAAAGGAAAATTGGTTGCCACATATTAAGAAGTTCGCCAAGTGAATTATTTTGGGCGAAAACTGAAAAAAATTAAGCCAAGATAAATTTTTGAATTTCTCCGTAAATTTGCACCAAATTTTACAAAATTTAATATCTAGGTATAATTTGAGTCGTAGAATCGAAATATGGAAAAAATTGGTATGTTATTTCGTAAAAAGTCCGATTTTGTGTCAAAATACTTATGTTACCACAATGCTATATATAAGTCTAATATACATCCCAAGTTGCGCTTTCGAGACATGAGAAACGTAATTTGAATTTTGTCAATCAGCCTAGTAGAACGGAAGATATAGAACTGTCTCCCCCCTTTTTTTTTTGAGTGTACCTAATTTAATTAAAAAGTTCATAGAATTAAATATAACCTTTGAAGAAGGTTTTCAGATCAATTATTTACTAGTGAAATGATTCATTTTATCATGCACTAGTAAAATCTACATTTCTTACATTCCTCATTCCTTTGTAATTTTCGATAATATATGGACTTAATATCTATTTGAGAATTAATTTTTCAAACTTTATATTACTCGCTTTATGTTAATTTAAAGTGTCCAAAGGATGCCTACAAAATCACAAGATAGAGACTGTACTGCTTGTATTAATAAGAATATAACAAAGCATTTAATTAGCTACTACATTCATTCTTGTTCATAAAAATGCATTAATATAATACTAAAAAATGGCAGCACTTAGACATTTCTATAGATAAAGAATGAGTGCCAAAACTAAGCAATGATGACCATAATCATTTATGAAAGATTAATATATATTTATGATTTATTTAATTACTCATACAAATATCAATTTCAAAGTGAAAAATCTATCTGAAAAATCTATGATTTCAAAGTGAAAATTTTTAATTACTCTACACTTCCATGATTAAAGTTTAAAATATGTGATCTAGTTTGATATCAAAGACAACAAATTACATAAATTCAAGCAAAATGCTCAAAAATAAAAATATAATAAAAAATGTCAAAATATGGAAACAAAATTATTTGCAATAGATTACTGTATTTGTTAAAGAAAATTCTCCTTCAGTTATAACTTTGAATAATAAACTTTTCAGCTTAGTGCATAAAATTATTATTAAAACAGAAAACAACACAGACCATTAAATATGTAAAATTACCCAATGGAATAAGTGACATTAATTTCCTAGAAGCATTTGATCATGAACATCATTTTTTATTTTCAGTAATTCAACAAACAATATGGCATATTGCTCCTTGAAAGGAGACCAGAGAAAAATTCTCTCTAAAGTAGTTAACATATTTTTGAAATCAATGACAACATAAAGCTGCATTTTATACAGTTTTAAAGATTACTTTACCCATACCAAGTTTTAAAGTTTCTCCATGTAAGAGTTAGATTACCTTGTATTAGATATGTTATTACAAAATAATGCAATCCCTTATAAAATTTAAAAAAAAAATGAAAACTGAGATTTTTTACTTAAGTGATGGCAATCACATGCACTTATCAGAGAAAATCGATTCTGCTTACTTTGTCAAAAAGCTGCAATTTGTTTAGAACACCTGAAATATAAAAAAGTGAAACTAAATGCTTAAAAATATATTCATTTAAATATTTCTAAATAACAAATCCCTTAGATTACATAAAAGATAAAACAAAAGACAATTTTTCTTTGCTATTTTACAATAAGATTTCAGTTTCAAATGAAGTATAAACAGAAGTCACATAACTAATTTAAGAAAAAGCAAATCAAATAATAGGCATCTAAGATTTAAGTATATAATATTAGTTTAAAATCATTTGGAATAAATAAGACACTTATCCACAGAATTTTCACTAGAAATGTATGTTTAAATTTTTAAGAGATTGGTATAAATATTATATGATAAGGATTCTGATGTTACAAGTAAACAACATACTAGAATAAGCAACTTTTACTTAAGTATTTAATATTCCTTTTTTTCTTTCCCATACCTCCACCAAAAAATGGCATTAGAAGATTTAAGAAAGATAAACCAATTTCTATTGAGTGTTCAAGAGAATATTTTACTTTTTTTAAAACTACCAAGTTCTAAGTGACCAAATCAAAAATAGATCTTTAGAGGAATGATGCATTAAAAATAATTGTGAACTTAAAATTGGTTTCAAATTATCTTTAAAAAAATGGTAAAATTCATTTCACTTATTTAGTAATATTAAAAAATATCATCAACACAATAACACAGAATGTCATTCTCCTTCATATGCTTGTTCTTTTTATTTAAATAAAATAATCTGATGTGTACACAATACGACTTATACACATTTTTTGCTGCGCTTCATTTAAGCTTATTTCCTCCAATCATTCTGACTTATTTAACTGATTTCTAAAGGCAAGTTGAAAACAACATAAAAAATTTCACATTTTGAAATTATATATCCCAGTCAATTTTTGCTCCACTAGACTCAAGTTTTTTCTAATTTTACTTTCTTATAAACAGCGTAAAATTTTCCCAAATATAAGTATAGGAAATGGAAAATCACATTAAAAATTAGATTTTTTAGGGGGGTAAAAAATTAATTAAAAAAAATTGACATTGCCAAAATGTTAATGTGTTCTCGGTTTGTTTGGTCTTCCATCCATAAAGATTGCGCACAATGGACACGATAGTGCATTCCATGTCAGAAAGCAAAAGTAAGTAGACATACTAGAACCCCGTTAATGAAGTTTCCAGACCAAACACAGATTTGATCACGTCCACCTTGACCTCGTTGGTCCGCTACCTCCTTCCCAAAATAATTATTACTGTTTAACTATGATAGATAGGTTTACTAAATGGCCCGAAGCAGTACCCATACCAGACATAACTGCATGCACAGTAGCACAGGCTTCTATGACCACTGGATTACACGATTTGGTTGTCCAGCTGTTATTACTATTGACCAAGGGCAACAGTTTGAAAGCGGCTTATTTCGAGCTCTTTCCCAATTGTTGGGAATCAAGAAGATCAGGACGTCTCTGTACCATCCACAGGCGAATGAACTTATCGAGGAATTCCACCGTCCTTTGAAAGCTGCCTTAAAAGCTTATGATACCAGTAACTGGGTGGCGGCTCTTCCAACGCTTCTGATGGGTTTCCGCTCCGCTCTCAAGGAGGACATAGGAGCAACCACTTCTGAACTTGTGTATGGAAAGACGATTCATCTCCCAGGAGAATTTTTCAATTCGACACCTATGGACGTGTCCCCCAAACAGTTAGTGGAGGATTTAAAATCCCATTTTGCCAGTGTCCGCCCGACTACGACTTCTAGCCACGGTCAGCGAACCTGTTTCGTTCATCCATGGCTGTGTTTGTTCGACACGACGGAGTTCGAAAACCACTGCAAGCTCCCTATGATGGACCATTTAAAGTGCTAGAAAGACGAGATAAAATGTTTGATCTTGAAATAAAAGGGACTAAGCAAACAATCTCCATAGATAGATTGAAACACGCTTTTGTAACCATGGACTCTTCCCAAGTTGTTCCAAAGAGTGTAAAAAGAAACCTTTGGACATTGGTATAACCCGTTCTGGATGATTAATCCAACCCCCTCATCAGTATGTCACAATTTGTTGACACTGCGGAGGGAGTATGTAGCGGCAGCGCCGAACAGGCGATACAGACTCAAAAACTCTGGAGAAAAACGCCAATTGGCGAAACAGTAAACTTGCTTGACAACCCTACGGGCTGACGGGAAGAGAAGAATTTTCCCCGGCAGTTCTGGGTAACAACTTCAGTCTCTGTGTGTGCATCTGTGAAACTACTCGTCTTGTGCCTTCCACGTGATATGTAACTTCGATCTGTGTTGGGACTGTACGTTTCCTTAAGTACAGTCCTTAATGAATATTTCAGCAACTTTTCTAACACAAATCTTTTTTTCTAATTGCATATTTTTTCTTGAAGAAACCATCATAATAAAATGTTAAAACCAACATAAATTCTAAGAAATGTTCCTAAAGACTTCAAGGAGACGATTTTTCAGATGATAACCATGATACTTTAAGGTAAAATAATGTCAAAAATGCACATATTGCATTTATTACAGGTGAGATTTTGTTTGCAGTCTGTCTACTTTTGTGACACAGTTTTCCTATCAAAAGATAAAAATGCCAGTTTTTGAGGTGAATATTTTATTACTGTAAAAATTATTTACTGCTAAAGGAAGACCAAGTAAGCGTTTATTTCAAAGAAATTACGTTTTATAATAGCAGTTGAGTGCATTAAAATTTTTTGATATTATTTTCAAAAATCACAAGTATTCTGTCACAATGGCAACACATCATATATCTGCCTCCAAAAATTTAATTTTAAATCGAAGTAACATAGTATTTTTATATCAATATCAATTTTTAGTTCAACTTTTATAAATAATTTTATTAACTGCAGGAAGAACTTATCATTGATAAATGCGTAAAATTGCTATTGATACAAATTTTTTTAATTATGTATCAATTTTTGCTAAATTCCTGGATAATCATTATTGAGTTGCAGATATGATTTCTTTGTTCAAAATTTATGATCATAACTAGCTCAACTAACTGTGAACAACTCTCCTACGTCTCCTCAAATCACAAATATGTGTCATTGATTCAATAAAGATTTTCAGAACACATAATAATTTGAATTACAAAATTTCATTTTGCATCATAGCAAGAACTTAAACAACATTGTGATTAAAAATAAACATTAAAACAATGAAGATATTAGACATAAAATTTTATGTTATTAGCAAGAATTAATACAAAATTAAAAATATTTGCAAGTAAAAAAAGTTTTTAAATACAAACAAACACAATTAAAAAAAACTGTTGCCAAGTAAAACCATTTCTCAGTTTATCCACAAATTAAGCCTCTTGCATTAAAATTTGATATAAATTTTTAATAGTAAAATTTGTAACTTACATTTGAAATAGCTAGCTTAGTCACAAATGTTTTGAATAGTACTGATTGTGACAATAAACAAAGTGAACTTGGAGGAAATTAGAAATGAATCTGCAGATAAACAAATGCATTTTAATTATCAAGTGGCTAACATAAAAGTCCAGAAGATACCTCCTTGTTTCTTTACACATTCTAGAATTATGTCAAAAGCACGGTCCAAAAGAAGAGGCTCTTCCACTCGTACATTTAACAATGATATGAAGATAGTGGTAACCATTGCTAACTCTGAAAGATAATTCAGCTCTATTTCTGTTCTTACCTATCAAAATAAATTTATATGACACAGATACAGATTTTTTAAAAATAAAAAAGCTGATTAAATATTTAATATGAAATTATTAGTAAGAGGAAGAATTACTCTCTTTCTCTTGAAATAAATTTAATAACAATTATTATGCATTTTGATTAAAAGTATATTATTCTGTCTTTTCTCTATATAATATATAAATTAATGAAGTACAAATTTACAGACTGTGAGAGCATCAAGTTTTTATCAGTAAAACATGCAACAGAAATTAAGAAGACATGTAGATTTATAACATGCCAAATACCATGTGACATTAAAGGTATGAATTTGTCTGCCAGTGTAAGAAATACATTTCATGCTGATAATAAAAATGCACTCAAAATTTAAAAAGAAATTTGTACCAAACAATACCCCCAAAGTGTTCGTGCAGCTGGTGAATAATGATGAATGCCAGCAACAAATGAAAAGCCTTACTGAAATGGCAAAATTCTATATCCAACATTTAATTGCTTTCACAAATAAAACTCAAATAAGTGGTATATTTAATAGAAAATTTGTTTCAGTTCACTTTAAATTACATTCTTAATGATAACTGATGAATAAAAAAAATTAATTTCCATCAGCCACTGTTGCAGCCACAGAAATTTTTGTCAACAAATTATGTGAAGAAAAGACTGAATATGAACTGTTTCCACCATACAAAAACTGCATATTATTTTCTCCTTCAAGTACAAAGATGTATTCCTATGACTGGAAACAGTGTGAAATTGGATTCAGAACCCATGAAACAACATTATATTTATGATGAATTAAGATTTGTTCTAAAAACTGACAACAGACATATGCTGATCTCAAAAGAGGATGGGAATGACAGACTTGAGAGTATACTGTACGGTCCCTGCTGAGCTTGAATGGACCAAACACAGTATCATGACTATAGCTGCAGCCATTTGGCAGTTAAATGAGTATTACTGGACTTTAGTGAGCACCTTGTACGAAATGGCCTTGCTTGCTAGTTCCAAAGGAAGCCTTTTCACTACTTATGTTTAACACTACGACATGATTTGACCAAGATTATTTAACCAAGAGCAAAACAAATGCACAGCTTTGGAAGAACATCTTCCCTTTTTGTTTTCCTTACATCAAGTACTTCTTTTCACCTATCCCTTTTCAACAATTGTAAATGTTTCTTATTCTGGTAACTCCTGTTCTCCCAAGTTCAAACTGAAGAATTTCAGACTTCAAATTTTAAGAAATTTTAATTTCTATGTGCAAGTCTAAGGATCCTCTGCATGCTGAGCACAATCATGTTTTCTATCTTTAGAAGAAAAATGGGCACAAACTGAGAAGTGACATTTTCCTAGTCCAAGTCTTCCATTAAGATCTAGCAAATAGTCTCCTGCCTAACAACAGATTTATCTGCCATTAACCTTGCAATCAAACAATGATCTTCCAATCATAAATCTCCAACATTTGGAATGGTTTCAGACCTGACTTTATCTTCAATCCTTTCTGTCTTATTTTAGAGTCATGTATATCACATGAATGTCTGTGCATGGGAAAATGATTATTCCCATACACCTGTCTTATATATTCAACTGCCTTGGTAACACTTTTTTATGAATTTCAAAGAAAACTTAATGTTCACTCTTAGTTCAATGCTGATGATGTAACAATGCTTCCTCACCAATTAAAAGAAATGATGCCATACTTCCCATAATGCTTGGTGGGTGGCAAATGTAATATTGCCAGATTATAAAAGAAAGTTGTCTATTTGGGTGATACTTTGCTTCAAAGGGAAAATATTTCAGTCTCATTGTTTAACTGTCAGTCTGTATACATACACACACTGAAATTTATGTCATTAATAATAAATGAGTTGTTTGCAAAAATCATGATAATATATTCTACATAAATATATCATTTTATACAAAGTTTTGAAAAGCATTGGCATTCAAGTAGTCGTTAAAAATTCCTTAGAATACATCCCGTTCCAAAAATAATAGCTAAAAGGTTAAAACATAATTTTTTAAACATAGCTTAAATTTGGGGAATTGAATACATTATCCAGATACTATCGGCTGCGTCTAACAAATTACAAATACTATGTACACTGCTCAAAAAAAAAAAAAAAAAAAAAAAAAAGGGACAGAGCTATATCTCCCGTTCTACCGGCCCGATTGACAAAATTCAAATTGCGTTCTTCATGTCTCGAAAGCGCGACTTAGGATATATATTAGATTTATATATAGCACTATTCTAACATAGGTATTTTGACACAAAATCGGACTTTTTCTGAAATAACATACCAATTTTTTTACATATTTCGATTCTACGACTCAAATTACGCCTAAATATGAAATTTTGTAAAATTTGGAGCGAAATTTACGGAGAAATTCACAAATTTATGTTGGCACTTTTTGTTCAGTTTGCGCCAAGAATAGTTCACTTGGCGAACGTTCTTAATATATGGCAACCTAGTTTCCTTTCCCGTGAGAGGAAAAAAAGTCACCATCATTCCTTTTTTCCAAATAATATTCTTTATATATTTTTTAATTATAACTGTTATTATTTTAAGTAATTTTTTCTTTTTCGAATTTCATTTTAATTGTTTAAGTTGCATTTTTTTCTTCGAATAACTGTTTTAAAAATTTCTATTTACCTATTCAAACTGCGTCAAATAAAGGTGCAGCGTTTATTTATTTATTTATTTTTTCCAAATAGTTTTCTTTATATATATTTTTTGTCATAGTTATTATTTTAGGTAAATTTTTAAATTTTTATACTTTTATTTTAATTGTTTGTGTTGCATTGTCTCTTCAGATAATTGTTTTAAAATTTTCTATTTATTCCTTCGAACTGAGCATTTTAAATATATTTATTAATATAAATTTTCCAGAATTTGATTTTATTTATTTGAATTGCGTTTCTTTCGGAAGAATATTTTGTAACCCAGACTACGATGCATTTGAAAACTGCATATATTAAAAGAGAAATTACAGTAAAGCACAGTTAACACGCCTTTCAATGTTCCGTTCAGAAAAGAAATATATAAATAAGAGAGATGTATAACGGACATTTTAACATTAGGATGACTTGCATACACTGCTTTAAAACAGTTTAATCATTGTGCCCATTGCTTTACACAATTTTATCCTACATTTGGTTTCTTAAAATGTTTATTCATATTTTAGTCAAATATTTTATTTTTGAAATCGCAAGAATCAAATATCATAAGATTAAAAAGTTTTAAATTAAAAAAAAGTAGAAATATTAAATTTTACGCAAAAATTTATTTTTTCTTTTCTTTTTCTTCAGGCATTCTACTTTATTCTTGCTCTTTTTCTTTAGGCATTCTGCAAGTATATTAAAAAGCATCCAACTTTTCGAAATATCTTGGTATTTCTGACAATCATTTTAAATAAAGTTATCGCCTTCCATTTCATAAAGGCCCACAAACGGCCGAGCGGTAGAGAATCGTTGAACACTGGTAGTTCACTCCGGGGTTCGAATCCCGGTAAACGGGCTGGTTGCATGGGCGTTTTCGTGGATTTTCTCATGTGTACCGTGTATGCCAGCTGGTTTCTCTTAGAAAGTTCATTCACAAAGTATTTGGTCAGAGCCTTTATCAGTCTTTAGAGGCTAAACATTTTGAAGGTATGAGATGAAAGGAAAGTCTGGTTTCATCAAGAGGTTTTGGTTTATTTAATTATGACAGAGCACAATAAGGGCTATCTGCCTAGGGATGCCTTCGTGGAGGACTTTCTAAGGAAAAACTGGCTCGCATACACGTTACACATGGGGAAAACCACGAAAACGCCCATGCAGCATCCCGTTTGCGGGATTCGAACCTCGGACCGAACTACCAGTGTTCAGCGATTTACCGCTCAGCCGCTGTTTCATCAGGAGGGGGGGAAAAAAAACGTCTTTAGGTGACATCCACATACATCACTGGATAAACTCCTGAATCTTCAAATAATTCGACTGAGAAAATCATGGGATTCTCCATTTATGATACGATATGATGTTCTATAACGTAATTTAAATTTATACAACCATATAGTCTAAAACCAGTCGCTCTTCACTTTAATCTGTAATGATATCGTTTTTGTCTTTTCTATTAACACAAGCTCAATTGATGGTATTTGCTGGTGGTGTACACGTGTTTTCTTTTTGAACACCTAAATTCTTTGAAGTATCCTGAAAGTATATTCAAAAGCGTCCAACTTTTTGAAACATCTTGGTATGTCTGACAGCCAAATTTCCCTGCAAATTTTTGCTTACTTTTCTCCCTAATTTTCTTCTTTCCTTCTACAGTTATTTTCAGTGCTCACACAAAAAAATTAAGATTTTTCGATTCCTAGACTTCCATAAATTTTGCATTCTTGTCAATTTTTTTAAAATATCAATTGCATCAAACTGCGTTTCAGCTGAAGACAGCTTTTCATTTTCTAGACATTTTTACTATAAACAAAGTATAGAGCAAAGTCCAAAGCATAAATATTTTAATTAAAAGATTTTTGCTAAATGACAAAGAAATAAAACAGTCCAGCAGGGTTTATTCTGTACCACCGAGTAACCCGATTCTTATATCGGCTGAAACAATCTAAATCATATTAAAGATCATGTTTTTTTATACAATCTATAACGCGAGAGAAAAATTAGCTTCTTAAAACATTCTTTCTAAGAGGATTAATATAAAATATTATATTTATATATATATTTTTAAAGCTGGGACTTGAACCAAACTGTCAAACTTTTAAAGTTTAATTTACATGGTGGTTATAATTAAAGTTCCAATTTGAAATGGTCATAAAAGGAAAACTACCGGACCAAATGTTATCAAACTTGGGAATCGTGTAAAGAAGGTTATGGGAATTTATTTTCCGTGGGAAAAAAAAAAAAAGAGTTCAAAAACTCACCACCAGGGGAAAATGGCGCTGTATACAATATTGTTAAATGAAATAAGACATGAAAACATCTGTTTAAAATGTGTTTAATAGTTTCCGAAA